GTTTGTCGGTAACCCAGTGAAAAACCAGCTTCGGGGTGTCAGCCCTAACTGGGTGATGTACGTTTAGTTCAGGGAATATAATTCCCTTATCTAGGCCCACCACGGAGAGGCGTACATCATCAGGCCCCATTATTATTATATTTTTTACAGATTAAAGATAGTATGCAGCAGAGAAGGTTCGGGTGATCCTGGCACAGTTAGGCTGGTAAGGCTCATCATCAGCTCAGGGCCCTCGCCCCCTCAACACGCAGCCCAGACAGCGAATGGGACTTCTCCCAGGAAACGCTGCCTAGTCGAACCCACCAAGACCTTTCCGGAGAATATGAAGGCTCCCCAACACTGCAGCCTTCTGCATTACCCGAGTGTCAGAAGGGATGTGCTCCCGGTGGAGAAAACGGGCACTCTCCTGATCAGCGCCAAGAGATCAGGAGGTACCAAACCAAGGGCACCGAGAACAATGGGGAGCCTGGCGACAGTGTACTTGGGATGCAAGCGAGACATTTCAAAGGCGAGGTCCGCATACTTAGTATGCTTTTCCTGAATCTTGTCAATCACGTTGCTGCAAAAGGGACAGATGCGCCCCTTCACCGAAAAAGACGCTATACGTGGTTCAGTGGATTCGGATCACATTTTCAATATGGAAGCCATGACGGCCATGTTGCAAATTCTCTGTATGACCTCGTTCTCGCAGTAAGCGTTGCGCTGTACTGGAAAATTTGTTCATAATCCTGTGCACCGTTGAAGGTGAAATTTCAGTTACTTCATCTTATCAATGATGGCACCTAAATATATTTGTGCCAGAGTTACGAATCCGATCGTCAGTATTGCCGCTACAGACGGCACCCATATTGAAAAACAGCTGAGATGAAATTTTATACCAGTGGTCAGTAATCGGGATAACACATATGCTTGCATTGTGTGTGCCTATAAATAAATAATTATTCTCAAAGTACTTTCTAGCCTCTGAAAACATCCTCTCGGAAACCGCGGATAAATAAAGCTGAAACTTGACATATGAGTTGTCCAAAAGGTTCCTTATAGGGGCCTATTCTAAATCAGAATCCATACAGGAGACAAATGCAACACTAAACAGGGAGTGAGTTTAGTTCTAAGCAATATTCCAGCTAGATGGCAGCGGTCTACATACTCATGTCTGGACCAGACAATCCAGTGATCAACATCATGAGCATCGATCTACGCAATTGGGCTACCATGAGGTGTCAACCAAGTCAGCTTGCCTGACCACCTAATCCCGTTAGTCGCTTCCTACCACAAGCATGGGTTACGGAATACCAATTCTAAACCGTATCTTCATGGGTCCATGTATTTATGAGTCAGACAATTCTGCTTTGTATTCCAACTGTATGCAACAGTAATCCAGTTATATTGTGACATGCCAGGTTCATGTGGAATGAGAGCCCCAACTGATGCAGGTGTCACATGTTTACTACTTGGTAAGTCCTGGGAGAATATGACAACCTGAGCCACATAGGAGCAAACCCAGCATCAGCCTTTTCTAAACCAGAATCCCTACAGGAGAAGAATTAAACAAGACACATATATACATATTGATGTTTATTAACAAACACTGTAGTTTATTGATGACAATCTAAAGATAAATACCTGTACGTACATATAAGCATTCAAGAAACCCGTTCATCAACTCGATCAGCCCATTTTATACATGCGTATTCATTAAACACCCTCAGTCTGAAGATTCACAGTTGAATTTCTACAGCAAGGATCTTAATGATTTAAAGCGGTCCAAATTCACTCTTGTTCTTAAGGTCTGAACATACTGGAGGTCAAAAGTTCATTGTCAAGGTCATACCAATACGGAGTATGACAAACTGTCAAGGTCAGACCTCAAAAGTCAAAGTGAATTGAGATCGAGCAATCCAGAGTAATGCTTCTCTTTGAACATTAGGACAAAAACACAGACAGCTCAGGCAATGATCCTGTCCACGTTTATGTATATAAAAATAGAAATCTCCTCTACTGTGGACAAAATCATTGACTGCCAGTGTTGCTGGTATTAAGAGCAGGGACTCCTGTGTAGGAGCACCCCTGAAGGAGGCTTGTTAACAGCAGGGTATTATCAACGTATAACCATCTGAAGGAGCTGTTATCATGGTTATTCCATGTCAAATCGCACCGGGACAGTAGAATCCAATGTTCATGAAAAGAAGAGATTTTGAGAGGAGACACAACCACCATGTAACTACAATGTCTAGGAAATGGACCAGAGCGGAAATTTCCAACATATGACTGTTCACATTTATAATAATAAAAAATCTTCATTGTAAATTCATAAACTCATAATGTCTTATTGTCAATAATACCCGGATTTCTTTGTTTTGAAATACAATAAGTTGTGGGTCAATGCCAACTCTAAACATACTGTCCCGTACTACAGTGTTAGTGTTCCAGTGGGAGACAAATGACTTCAAATGAGAGAAAAAATTTGACCTGATTCAGATGACTAATTGCATGCCATTATATAACATCAAACAGCAAATAACAAGTACTGCAGTAACCATGGTAACACGTTTATCAGTGTCTACAGTAAGTTAACCATTTACTTTCTCATTAGTTTCCAAACAAGTACTTGTAACTGTAACAATGTTCTAAATATTCAAAGATGGGACAAGACAAACTATATAACATGGCAAAGAATTGCTGCACAGACAGATCAAAGAAACAATTAAATTGAAAATTTCAAAATGAAACAAATAATTGGACGAAATGTGAAGTACCAGTTTTCTGTTGATGCTGCCAGATTTTGTATCATTAAGGGCTTGCTCTCTCTCACTAACTTTAACATAGGATCACTCTGGCCAAACCAACTACAAGGACAAACAAAGTACAAACACCTATATACATACAGCCTCCTCACAGAATAACAAGTGGCACGTACCATTGCATACAGTTTGCCTGTTTCATGCTGTGTAGAGGGTCAACACAATGAAAATAAGGTCAATATCTAAGTTCGTTCCTGATTTCTTGGTTTAGAGTTTTAAAGAAAAAATGCACTTGTCAAGACAACAATGATTCTACTATCAACAGCCCCTCTGAAGCCGTACGAAGGGCAATAAACATACCACGGACAGTTTATGTATGACACTGTTACTCAAGACTAGATAAGCACATCCATTGTTGTAGAAGACAAAACACTTACATCATACAATGATATCAAATAGCAATTTTGATTTCCATCAAAACAATTCCATAACAAGTTTGTTTAAAATGAGTGTTCTATATTGCCTCCCTACGCTCTAGTCTAGATTGACAAATAACAATGGAGAAAACACCATATTTCCTGTCATCTGCCAACAGGTCCCTTCAGGAATAATCTGGACGTACAGAAATATTTGTTTCATCAAGTATCATCAATATTTGGAGGTCTCTCCTAGCTCAATTTACTGGTGTGAAAACATAACACTCCAAACAGATTTTCCTTTAAACTTATATGTAATAGATTCAGCTGAACTAACAGTACAACAAACCTCAAATAAACCCTAACCATCATATCAGATAACAGAAATCCCCATAAAATACATATTTTGAATTTATAAAGTCAGATTTAGTAATTCAAAGCCAGTCAGAAAAACATCAACTACACAATGAACTTTGATAACAAGATGTCCATATTACCAATTTTCCTAATCAGAAAATAATCTAGGGCATTTGGTATGATCATGGATAAAGAAACATTACTGGAACAGTAAAAAAAAACAAATTACAATCAACTATTTTTCAAGTTCGTGATAAATACTTTTCAATGAGGTTATAGCAAAAGTCACAGGGATGGGGGTGTGACTTATCATAAGATATTCATGTTGGAAATCTATATACTTGATAAAACAAATATGACATTTTCTTATGTGGTAGGAAAGCCAAGAACAGCCAGTACACATGCATAATATATATTAGAAAATGAGGTAGAAGAGCCATGGAGGCCATTTGTCAAACAGTTTGTCACTACTCGTTTAATTTCCTATCATGATTTAAGGTGAAGGACACACGCAAACATTATGACAGGGCATACTCAATACAATATATTATTTCTGATATATATCCAGTTTGTTCTGCTTCCACCTGCATTGATAAATCTTAACCCTTCATACTGAGGCTACTAAAGCAGCTTAACTGTGAACAAAAGGTATCTCTGAAAGGGTTAAACACACTTGTCAATGACGTTTTGCAGCGAGGGACCATTTATGTCATGTGACTTGGCATGGGACACCATGCAATCGCGGGGATTGGGAAGAGAGCACAGTATTCACACTTCAAAGATCATAATTTAAATCTAAAATCTGAATAAACATGTTCCTGAGTTTCAATTGTACCTTGTGTTGAACCCGAGGGAACTGGCTTAAATAACAGTTTCAAACAATGCTAACATGAAAGCACCTATGGAGGAAGTCGTTGGAGACGGAGCCCAGTCTCCCAACATCTTCTCTCAACCTTGATATGTCATCAAGCAGCTGTAAACAGTTACCTGATACCGAGACACCACGACAGGGGACACCTGGAATGTACATACACCTGGAGGGTTATCTGCAGCTTAATCTTAAAAACGTTTCAGAAATTTAATTCAAAATAGTCTTTCTTTGTATCTCTTAAGCACAGTGTCACAACCCTGCAGGTCCCTTGAACATTCAGCCATGTTGGCAGGTCTGAGGGTAGTCATTTATTCCTAGAAATACAAATTGTGCAGTAACATTGTGCAAGAGCTGCATAGGAGGTAGGGGTTGGGTCAATGTTGAGGTTGTAAAGACAGCTTAAAACTGAGATGTTTCACTTCATATCTGCTGACTGTGCTGATATTGGACGTAGATATGTGACAACAGACAGGAGCTGGGCGAGGAGTGGCCTTCTCTCCGGTAGTTTTGATCGCAGGGATAAGGTAGTGAGGGAGGGGGGTTAACTTTTACTGAAAAATTCAACAATTTATCAGTTAATTTTACAGTGTCAGAAATGAACTTTCAGTATTTTGAGGTAGCAAAGAAATGGAAGTAAAAGGGGTTCTAATAACAGACATATCGATAATAAAACTAGAACCGTAACAAATTTAGTTTTGTTTCATAATCATAGTTCAGACAAGCAAGTTTGAAATCAGATAAGGTGTTTAAACAGCCAAGCAGGCCAGGACCTCAGCGTAGATGACCTTTCATACATTCGGGCTACAAGGAAAAGATAACTGTTCAACTGTTGGAAGCATGTAGGTGCTTTCATGTTTGCCAGTTCAAGACTATCATGAACGACAAAGTGCAAACTCTGCAATACATCCGTCACAAATACAATGCCTGATATCCTATTTGTGCACTAGTTACATCAAACAAGGATGCCATGCAGACAATCAGTAATCCTACCTGTATATACATTAAGTCACACAAAGTATACACACATCGCACTGTGTAATCCCTACAAACATGATCATCTTAAATCAACACAAGACTAACCAGATTGGTCTTACAATAAAAATGCATAAATACTTTCATTACAATTGATTTTGATATGGCTTATAAAAGCAGTTTGATGCCATGAGAGTTTAAAATGAACTCAATATCCTTTAACTGTTTGTCAAGCACATATTACATTTTTCGCACAATTAACTAGTATTAGTCAAAAGAGAATGTGTGCCAAGCCAATAGTATTTTCCTTCAACAAATCTACATTTTAACAAAAAATTCTTCAGGAACGAGGCAGTAAACAAGGACTAACACATCAAATTTGCTCCCAAATAGAAAGACAAAAGTTGTTTAAAAAGAAAGTAATGAAACCTGTTAACTTGTAATAAACCAGTGCCAAGAATAATTGACAATTAATACCCATCAAGTGCCTGATAAACAGTTAAAGCCGTAGAGAATTACATGTTCTCATTGCTTGAAATCACTAGACAAATTCAACAAAAAATCATCTGTGCAAGATGCATATGTAGTTCTTATTTCAGATTTAATAGATTCTGTTGTTACCCTCTGACTTTAAAAAGAACAAAACTAAGAAACTGTTCCAGTTATTTCATAAAACTAGTGACTTCAAACCACTCAGTATTATGATACTCACAAAATGCATCATTAAGATTTTTTGTCCCAAAATAAATATTAAGACTTTAGTAGTTTGTAATAATTTTGACAACAAAGTTTAACTTAAGCCAACTGATACAAAACTAAAGAAAACAAGTTCCCGTGTATGTGTATCTGCTATACATATACTGCACATGAACCTACTCACGGCGTATGTACAAAGTTATCTATTTAAAGTAGAACTGTTACTACTGCAACAAACACATATTTCAGTCCATCCTCTTCGACAGAGTAAGATTTTCTTAGAATAGCTTTTGAGGAAACACGGGACCTTACATAATATGGTCATCAAAATATTGATGTATTTCCTCTCGAAAACCTGAACGACAAGGTTTGTATGCAAAACAACATCATAAAGTTGAACAAGTGTAACACATGTTGTAGGAGGATCTGAACATCTAGTCCCACTAACAATTAGTCATGAAAGAAATGCATATAATTCATTGTTTGTTTAAAGTTTTGCTAAACCTGATTGGATGTTTTTCGTCTTCAGAAAACACTGCTATAGAACAAGACACCAGTTCACAACATACCCAGAGTGACAGACACAGACATATCCATACAAAAAGTTGAGAGGAATTCTAGCACTCGAAATGTATATCCTAGTTTCACAATTCACTTCAGGATCTGCTATACAGAAAAGCATTTTCAAAACACATCATGATTTCAGACTGTGATTTTGGAAAATGGAATAATTACTATGTAGGTAACAGTTTCAAATAATTTCAAAATCACCCCCAAATGTTAAAAATGTTAAGTTCTGAATAATTACTTTATACAACTATTTCACAAGGACACAATAACTTGAAAATCAAGATGTGCATTCTGTGCTTTTCAGGCCCACACAGAACTTACCATAATTATTCCAATAATACAAACACTCAAAATATAGAAACAAACTTTAAAATTTTATGTTTGTTCTTCGTCTCCAATTAAAAACATAACTTTCAATAAAATTCAATTTCTATCACAGAATACAGACATTAGACACCAGACAGTAATACCTGCATAACAGGTTACATGTATGTATAACCCTCCTATCATCTGTACACCAGTTACATCATTAAAAGTAATAGATTATTAAAAATTATATAAATATTTTTTACTTTAAAAGTATCCAATTTCAAGTTGTTATTGTGCCCCCTAAAACCTGACAAACATTTTGTTCATTTGTATCACTACAATAATTACGGCATGAACAGTTCCTCCATACAGAGTCTCCCCATCTACACACATTTCATGAAGATATGTACAAGATTTACAAAATATGTAAGGGGGCCTTCTCAAAAGTTATATCCATTTACCAAAACAGGGCAAGAACTAGCAGAAACTTCACAAAAATCTTGTTCGGTCACTTTCAGAAATATCTACGATTGTTTCCAATTACATTTCTTTGACCAAATGTCAGAAACAACTTTTGAGATGGTCCCTGTTCAATATGACAGTTCTCTCAAGTGTATCATCCAAGGTTCTGCCATTTTAGTTGCACACTCAAAAGACTAAAAAAATACATAAAATGAATAAAACCAACAGATTAAAAAATCCTAATGTGACAACCAATGCTACACAACCATCCAGGCATATAAAGGAAACCCTAAGTTGCTGACGGAAGGAAGAGCTGAATTTGTCTTGATTAATATTTCATTGTATAGATTTCATCATACATTTCTTAAAATGTACACATGTAAGGTTATGAGTGTATAGGAAAACTCAAGCTATAGACAGTTCATATTAAAATAATTACTCCTGAAACAAAGTATCGACTCAGCATTCTGTAGGTTAAAGATGCACATAATTCTACTTTGTACACACAATGACCACGGAAAACAGTAATCAAGGAAATTCCCTGATGGCATTAGGAGCACTTAACCCTACTCCATAAGAAACTGCAGCTAGTATCTCCACTGAGCCTAAACCATATCAACGCCTTTAATAAACAATACATGCTCAAAACAACTCTGAGAACATTTAATCTTTTCATACGACTATTATCGTATGTAAAGGCTGCCATGCCATGACAAGCTTAATGTAGAATCAAGTGTTCTCTAAGTTCCCTTGAGTAGTGTAAATGCCCAAATGGAATCATTTTCATATGAAAACTCAAAATACCAGGTTAATGTTGGCGAGAAATTAAGAAATCATTCAAAGTGTCCGAGAACAAGTTCTCATTTTTCTCTACTAGCACAAACCTTGACATTCAGTGACTTCTCCCTTCGATCAGAGACTCAACATAAGAATCATGATTTGCTGAGCTCACTAAACCAGAATGTTTAACTACACAGACCAGTGGCTTAGGGAGCATAATGTTATATTTCATTCCTCATACTGACTGCAGTTCCTCATGGGTATGGTCAGCGATTGCCTCAAAAAGGGCTCCCAAATAGCAGCACTATATAGTTGTCCAGACTGCAATGTCCTAGCCAGTGCAACAGTACCGGTATCTCTGATACACTAGTCAACAGCAGTATCCAATGGTAACAGCATTCATCTACAGCATCACTGGAGTATGGCACTTGAACGATCAACTCGGTATTAACCCCTGCCCAGTTGATGTCTCATCAAGGTACATTCTAGCTGACCACAGCATCAGCAGTCCCACCTGGAAGGGGTTAACACGGTCATCATGTCTCCCTGTTACAGCTGTAAGCCCATCAATATTGATCGTATGTCCTCAAGCACGTCATTATTGATCATCAAGGTAGGGTTAATTGGGAGTTTCAACAACATTTGTCATTAAGGTGATTTCCAAAGTGTTTCCAAAAAGTCTGTAGGGAAATGGACTCACATTGACAAGGTTTTCAAAATGTAACGTACATCACATTGTATTTGAGACATTTTCATGGCAAGGATATACTCAGATTTTACTTGTGATAACTGAGATTTTGTATCCTTCACTGTGACAAGTCCTTACTTTGAAAATTTGAGAAGGCTCATGCCTGAAGCTTGACACAGACATAATTGATGAACTTGTAGCTTGCTCTCCTTCACCTGATGATGTCAATACTTTGACATGATTTTCTCAATGTCATATTTTGTTACGTTTGGATTCACTACTTTTCAAAAATTGGCCAACACTCTTGATGAAAAGGAAATCTCCACATAGTCCTTCAACCTAATGAAGTCATGACAAAGGCTGGCCTCAGCCCTCCTCTGACGACTGGCTGCAGACTAAGTCACAGTCAAATTCATGATCCAGTGATTAAATGGATAATTGCCCACGATGTCAATGGCCAACGACCCACAGTTAAGACCACGGTCCGATTTTATCCACACAGCACTAAACCTGCCAGCTTCAACTGCATCAAGTCGACCCAGCACTTTTGGGATTAAATTCTTTCACTGGATTACCCACAATCCAAGGACTTTCACCCCTGTCACTTCCTTTCTGGTCTCTCTCCAGTTCGCCTTCCATCCAAGGCGCATGTTTTGGCACACCCGTATCATCTTAGATGCTTCAAAAAGTTAGATACTTGAGTCTTTGGCAGGCATATCTTCCTCTGTACCTATGATGGCTACAGAAGGAACGAGGTGATTGGTAGAGGTAGAAATGTTCACGGTACGAGCCAAAACGGCAATACGTTCCTCCACACGCCTGCTGCTGATAATCGAGCTTCAGCATCGTGATCCCAACATTCTTCTATTGTACAGATTAGCTGAGCAACGCCCTGCAAAGACAAATATCAACAATCTCTAGCAGACATAAATAGATATAATTAGATGATATATTTAAACAGGTGCTAAACAATGGACACTAAACGGTCTTTATTCTGAGCTACAGTGGTGAACATTAAGGAAATGAATCATACATGTATTATTTAACAAATTATACCTCAAGTATGCTGAAACTAAAGTAACCTTTCCTCAGTGTTATGTATTTTGTAGTTGTCACATATTCAAGAGGGATGACATGTACCATAGTACTCCTAACAGCTTCACCTGGTGTTTCCATTTACTAAACTTTCAGACTGGAATCTCAGACTCGTTACTCTAAAAGGTTGGCATAAATATTTTTGAAATATGTAAAACAGAACTTGACATTATACTAGATATGTTTCATTTTGTATAAAACTTGTACATCCCATATTAAAACATTATCATTCCCAGCTCACTGTGAAGGTTGCTGTACACCCAGTAATATCCTCAAGATGTAGATCAACCTGCTTTAAAGTCTGTTTCACATGTATATAAAATGGTAGGTACCTTTCTTTGTATAATCATAAGTCAGAAAGGGTAGTGTTTAAAAGCATGTGTTATTTTGGCCAACTCTGTTTTGACATCAGGACTTGAGAAAAGCTGCCATGACTGTTTTAATATTATTCATAATCACAAATTAGACTTCCAAAATGAAGTGCTCACTTTCACTGCAATATGCCAAGAGTGAGAGAGTGAGTGAGTTTAGTTTTACGCCGCACTCCAATATGCCAAGAAGTAACACCACAGTGTTTAGCAATATTCCAGTCTTGTGGGTAATAAAACTTCGCAGCATCTCACCCACATGTTCTGATTCGTTATAAAGCCACTTACTGGATGTGTGCCTCACCCACATGTTCCGATTCATAATAAAGTCACATACTGGATGTGTGCCATGCCCACATGCTACGATCCGTTATAAAATCACTTACTGGATGTGTACCTCACCCACATGCTACGATCCATTATAAAGCCACTTACTGGATGTGTACCTCACCCACGTGATCTGATTCGTTGTAAAGCAACTTACTGGATGTGTGTGCCAGATGTCCTTGATGACAGGTCGGACTTTCCTCAAGACGACCAGGTCCTGCATCTCCTCTAGGCTGGGATGAGGACCTATTTCCTCTTCATATGGCAACTGGTACTCATCCACCTCTGCAAGTCAGTCAGTGAGTGAGTGAAAGAAGGGTAAGCAACCATTGTTTCTTCCAACAAGATAAAAGTCTCATAACCCATACATGTACCTTGCTTTAACCACTAAGCTACCTCACCAGCTCTTTTTGTTTCATGACATACTCAGCAATATTCCAGCAAAAAGACAGTTGCCCTTAAAAAAGCAAGTCCTCACCAGATCAATATCATGATCACCAGACTTGTGATCTTCCAAATCAGAGGTCCTGACTGCTTGATCCATTAGGATGCCTTTAAAATCAACTACATGAAAACACTGGAACTTAAAACCCTCCTTTACCTACACATTTCAACAGAAAGACATGAAACAGAGTTTCACATTAGACAGTTTGGTAATGACAAAAAAATAACAACGTATCCACTTTACCCCCACCCTCATGTTCCTGATACAAACCCCAAATTTACTCAGTAAATAGATTATTTCACTGACCCTCCAATTAATACAGAGCCCTGATCAAAACATCCTTCAGCATCCAAAACACTAACACTGTTATTACAATGGCTTGAAAAGCTCTTTCAAGTTTTCAAACACTGAGCTAAAGGCGGCTACCACTTCTAATCATGATATCGGTAATTACAGACAGAAGCACTGCATTGATCTCACTATTCTTTAGGGATGGAAATTTGCACTAGCTCAGTCAGTTTTGTCTTGTCGTCGTTTAACACCTCACTTACACTATCCGAGCCATATGAATGAGTGAGGTTAGTTTTACGCCGCTCTCAGCAATACTCCAGCTATATGGCGGCGGTCTGTAAATAATCGAGTCTGGACCAGACAATCCAGTGATCAACAGCATGAGCATCGATCTACGCAATTGGGAACCTATGACATGTGTCAACCAAGTCAGTGAGCCTGACCACCCGATCCCTTTAGTCACCTTTTACGACAAGAATGGGTTACTGAAGATCAATTCTGACCTGGATCTTCACGGGTTCCGAGCCATATGAACAAATCGGTGATTGATATGACCGGGAGGAGTCAGTTTGGTTTAACTCCACTTAAACAGTATTCCACTTGAGCATGTGTGTCTCAAGTGGGAATGAGTGAGAGAGGGTTTACATCACTTCTACCAGTATTCCCATTTCACAACAGGAGACCAGAAATTGACTTCAAATAGGGACCTCCAACCCTGGTCTTCCGCGTGACAAGCTATTTCTTAACTGCTCGGCTACCCTATTATTTGTTTCAATTTTTTCACCCACCTAGCCAGGGATATATTAGATTATGAAGATTCCATTTTTCACAAGCTCCCCAGGGGTGGAAATAACCCATTTCCCGACGCCCAAGTCTAGTGGTTTTTTCTGTCTGGCTAGCAAATTTGTATGTCACGCTGTACCGGTTTCCAGTTGACTTTCCAATGTTAATTATGTTGTTTATTTAAAAAATAAACAAGAAAATCGGCCGGTATAGTGGAAGAATTATCAGGGCAAGTGATTTTACATGTGCCACTGTACCAGAGTACACTAGGAATTTTAAAGTTATTTCCACCCCTACTCCCTGTTGAATCCTAGTTTTTTAAATCCTACTTTTGTATGATCAAATGGCTGCTTCCATGAACACATGTGATTGCATGTGACACCTATCCTAAACATCACCATGTATGTCATCACTATTGGTGCAATGTAGCACGTAAGGTCATTTCCATTTCCGGAAGGTACCAATGGGCATGCAATGTCATGAGATTATTATTACCACCAGGTCCCCCTTCCCCTCACACAACGGTAACAGAAACCTACCTCCTACAACATTGCACCGGGCCATGAGCTCCCACAGAACCAGGCCACATGCATACATGTCAATCCTGAGAAATGCATCCCTGTTGAAACAAATGGCTCCCTCGAGGATCTCAGGGGCCATGTAACGTCTGGTGCCCACCTGAAACCATACATGGCAACCTTTAACAAAAACATCTGATTGAAGCTGGTGTTTGTTTGTTGTTTGCAGTGATGGACATTACAAGCATCAAGCTATGACAGTAAGCAAGTTTGATCCAGTTGATATCCCAAGCAGGGGAAATGACTTATGCAATACAAGAAAGCAATGGCAACATTGGTTTAACCACATCGTTAAGTTGTCATGGTCAGCAAGCCGAGGCAGAGGCTAATGAAGAAACTACTAGGATTTATCTAGGGTTTTCAACAAAGTATATGTCAGGGTAGAGACTGCGATCTGGCAGAATCGGAGATTCTACCAGTAGAGATTGCGATCGGAGTCTCTACCAGTAGAGACTGCGATCGGAGTCTCTACTGGTAGAATCTCCGATCCTACTAGTAGAGATTGTAATCGTAGTCTCTACTGGTTGAATCGGAGATTCTACCAGTACATTTTCCAATTCAACTGGTAGAAACTCCGATCCTACTAGTAGAAGCTGCAATCGTCTTCAACTGGTAGAAACTCCGAGTGATCTTTGGGTAAACAACAAAGACACTTTTTCTGAACAGTACTATGCATTTTATTCAGATATAACACTTATTGTAACACTGCTCCAGGAAATACAGAATTGGTTTGTTGTTATAAGCTATAGGTGTCTTGGCATGTCGGCATTTTTTGGAGGATAGCTGTAGGGCAATTCCCCACCAGGACATTACCCCATCTGCCATATCCCCACCTGGTCATTTCCCCACCTCTTTGGAAAGCAGTTTTTTTATAACAATTACTGATCATAAGTTTTGAAATACATCTGAATGAACTTCCTACTTTTAACTGAGACTTAGATAACAAACATTTAACACCTCACTGTAAACAATATCAAAATAAAAAATAAAAATGGTTTGTAACATCATGAGACCAAGCTGCCAAATTTGGACTCCACTCAAAAAACCAAAACAAAATACCTTACTCTCAAACAGACTTAACAAATAAAGTTAACAAGATAACAATAAATAAGTTCAATTATAACTGGCAAATAATAGGAAAACATTATCCCCACTTATTATACTTGCTTGCATAGGTTATTCCATATAATCGTAGTCTCTACCAGTAGAGACTATGATTGCAATCTCTACTAGTAGGATCGGAGATTCTACCAGTAGAGACTCCGATCGCAATCTCTACTCAACGCTGTCTCTACCCTGACATATATACGGTAGACACTTTGAGAAACAGAATTTGTGACCATAATGGACAGCATACCATGATGTCCAATGCCATAAATACCTTATGTGAAACATTGATTGGGTGGGGAAGCATCATAATATAATAATACTTTTACTATTGGTTAGTAAATGTGAAAATGAAAAAAAAAACCCATAAAAATCTTGAGTACCCGTGCATAGATAAAATAACTGAGGTACATTGATAGGTACTATTTCAACACTTGTGACTTGCAGTCTTTCTTATCGTTTCTCCTATTACAGATCAAATATAAATAACATTTAAACTTTATTATATTTTTACAATTAATGGAAAATGACAAAATACCCAATTGAGATGAACACAAGTGAGTACATAACTCGACCCAAATAGTTATCTGTAGCTCTGAACCCAACAATTTCCATCACATGTAGTTGATGCATGTCTCAGACATTTACCACATTGGTGAAACCAGCAAGCATGGGCATGAAGCTGACAAACATGGAACCAGTTTGAACCCTTGGTTCTTGGTTCGTTGTATAACGCTGCACTCAGCAATATTCCAGCTATATGGCGGCGGTCTGTAAATAATCGAGTCTGGACCAGACAATCCAATAACAATCAACAACATAACTATCGATACGCAGTTGGGATACGATGACATGTGTCAACCAAGTCAGCGAGCCTAACCATCCGAATCCCATTAGTCGCTTCATAAAACAAGCATGGGTTCCTGAAGACCAATTCTAACCCAGACCTTCCTGGGTACAATTTGAACCCACAATCATTACAACTTTCTGGCGTGCCCAAGGGATGTAACAAAGAAATCCCACAATTCTCCCTTCTTACTCACCAGACCATGGGTTTCTCCGGGATTTTTGCCTGGCTCGAATTTAAGAGCAAGGCCAAAGTCAGCAATGCAAGCAGTCAAATCATTTTTCAACAAAACATTTTTGCTCTTGAAATCCCGATGAGCAATGGCTGGTTTGGCATCATTTCCCTTGTTGGTCGGGATTTCATCATGGAGGTAGGCGAGGCCTCTTGCCATTCCTTCAGCAATCTTGCACAAATCACTCCATGTCAACACACGTCCCTTCAGGCAATCACACAAGGAACCTTTTTCATGGAACTCGGTGATGAGCCACAGCTCAATGTTTAAATTATCTCCCCTTTTCTCAGCTGCCATGAAGTGCAGTACATTTTCATGGTTCATCTGCGGCAAATTGTAGATCTCTTGTTCGGTCATCCATGAGTGTTTGTCTTGTAGAGGGAAGATCTTCACAGCTACGTTTTCGTTATGTAGCTGCGCCTTCCACACAGAGCCGAACCTTCCCCTCGCCCTCAGCTCTATCAGCTGAAGTGGGCACAAGGCTATTTCTGATGGCGTCGCCGAAATTGGGTCGACCGTTGGCAGCTGTTGATGGTACATGTAGATGTTGCGTTGATGTCGCCGCCACATCCAGAATACAACCACCACGATGAAACAAACGCCAATGATTGGTACAATTGAATACATTATAGTTCGTAATAACTGTTCATCTCCCGTTTTCCTAACAATGCCTGGTTCACTGGTAGTCGTGATGGGAAGTTGCTCAATAGGATTCGCCTCAATCTCTCGGTTACACATGTCCCCATCACAACAACAAAAGTCCACATGCTTCACGGTGTGTGTTCGGACACATTTAGAAAGTCCCGTACAACTCAAGTCATTAAGCCAGCAGCCTTTCATCACCAGTTGAATCTCATTGGTGTTGTTTATCCAGGAGGCGTAACAGAAGGAAACCTTGGTGACTCCCTTGGGATCCTGGCAGATCTCTTCCGTGGGGCAGTCATCACCGGTGCACTCATGGTTGTACTTGGCACACTTCCGACCCGTCGTCTCGGTCTCACTGTCCACTGCGCCTGTAACATACACACCCAGGATTAATGATAGTAATAAAAGTATATACATGTAAATGGCCTACAGAATCTGTCGGTCATGACACAGGGATGTGACAGGGTCATGGCATATTTGTTATGGACTTACTATGTCAAGAGGAGCAAGTTTAAAGTGAACAGTGAGTGAGTCAGGTTTTCTGCCACTTCTAGCAATATTCCAGCCATATAAGGCCAGGGAACAACAGAAATGAGCTTCACACACTGTACCCATTTGGGGAATCGAACCCAGGCTTGACGAGCGAGTGCTTTAACCACTAGGCTACCATGCCGCTATAAGTTGTACAGAAGCACTGTGGTACAGTATTTGCAAGTTACTAATTACTTATCATTCATGTATCATTACTTTTTAGTCATTAAGCCCCAACAGCCAGATACACTTCTTGTCATATCTGGTTCACGACAAGCCACTGTGATATACAGATATCAAAGTAGATATCAGGGATTTACAGGACGCGAATTCCTGTGTCCTATACTCATAAAATTTGACAACAGACACAATAAAATTTATTAGCGCGTCCACAAAGACTCAGAAAAAATCTAAGTACTTTTTGTAAAAATTCCAATCAAGTGACAATAAGTTTGCTACTAGCTGGGTTATGGTAGTATTTGCAATTTAATTACTGTAACAATGTGATGATCATGATACACAATATCTAAGTATAATATTTAAGTGTCTGGGACCCCTGAAAATTAAGAGTATGAGTCCCAGGGACCCTCAAATACAGGAGTCCATGTAAATCCCTGGATATGTCAGAACGTCAGGTGTGTCACTAACCGAAGAGTTGAAAAGTAACCCAACAAATACCACTTACTCTGATAAAATTATTTACAGTTGAAGTTAATATTATTTTTCTATACAACATGAGGAATATGTCCATGTTATTTTTTTTTCAAATACAATAAAAAAACATAATAAAGACATTTAGGATAGCTTTTGTGAACCTATTTGCTGTATCATAAATAATAAACGTCCTTACATGTGTTAGTAATTCCTCAAAGCATTTGGAACTGTACAATCAAGGGTTGTTCCCCTTACATTCAGTGAGAAAACAAAAACGCAAAGCACCATCCTTTAATTAAAGAGTTATTTTCATATAAAACTGCAGTCACAGAAATTACAACTAGTCCTTTTGTCCTTGCCAAACTGCCCAAATTCTAATGTATTTTAAGGACTGTTAGAAATATGCTGCCTTAAGATTTCATAATTGAAAACATACATAATTAGGCAAACTTTTAATTTAGGTATCAAATGAACCTCCCCAAACCGGCAATTCAGTACTTCAATCTTGAGACAGAAAATATCTTACATATTAAATGATCTAAGGAATAGTTGGTATTACCTCATGTTTTGTGAATGCAATTTGTCTATAAGATAAGAACTGTTCTTTCATAAAACAACGACAAACTAGCAATGAGAAAACATGAGAACATAAGATCATAGTATGGCTGTCATTGTTTTCATTATTAGAGTGAGTGAGTGAGTGAGTTTAGTTTTACGGAGCTTTTAGCAATATTCCAGCAATATCACGGCTGGGGACACCAGAAATGGGCTTAATTTCATTATTAGAACACACAGGAGTTGCAAAACAAATAATCATGACTCAAAACACACATTAACGATCAGTATATCCCATTTTTAGAAAGTTTCAGAATTTAGAAAGTTTCAGAACATATTTCAAATTCTCATTGACTGTGATGCTTTACTATTTTCATTCCCTACAACTACATAGATGTTTAACACACTACACAAGAACATTTGACCAACATGCCACCTGGCTCCCTAAAGATGGTTTAATCATATTTTTTTTCCTATTTATTTTCAGCTTATAGTAAGAGTTCTACCCGTAACCCCTGCTTGAAATGTATTCTATTTTTAGGATTATTTCGAGGGGTTAGGGTTTAGGTTTTATATAAAAACCGTAGGCATATGTTCTTAGCAACAGAATCATTAAAACAAAATATGGGGGTTACAGGCAGAAATTTTTCCCAACTTATTAAACCAGGCAAGGTTATTTCCCGATTCAAATGTGCTCACAATTCAATCTTTTGTGATTGAGGAGACCCAATGTGTAAGTAACTTTTACATCAGTTACAACATCTACTCAACATAATATTTAAAGAAAACTATTAAATTATTTCAGCTTAAATAAGCTTTGTGAACAGCAAATCTTTGTTGAGATTTCTTCATGTTTAATAACGTTCATTTTTGCAGCATTTCTTATGAGTCTATTCCTTAAATAAGTTATCTGTTTGCATACACTGCACACATGTTAATAACATATAAAACAAAATATTAAATATGTCTCATAATTTATAAATATATTGCTTTTTTAAGCCCTACTGACAAATTCTTTCCAACTGCAGTCATACCATGCTCACAAACTTCACTTACAAGACAACATTTCCGTAAACAAACAAACCAAGGAAATAAACAGCTAAAAAAATCAGCAAACAAATCAATGATTAGGGGGGCAAGAGTTCCTCCCGTTTCCCCATCCCAAATAATAGTTATAAATATACTAAAATTATTAACAAAACTTGACACAACAATTACTAGACAACTCACAAAATGACAAAGTCCAAAATTTAAGTTAGGGTTAGGTTTAGGGTTGGGGGAACAGAAGGAACTCTTTCCAATTAGGGGCGTCAAAACTTCTCAATAACATTGTCTATTACTTACTGTCGGTTAGTACTGTACTATAACTTGTTTCGTCAACAAGAACAATGTGGCCATTCATTGGGAGATAAAAATCTATTTCAGGACTTTCATCCTTTGTAATAATGTGCAACGATGTTTCTGTATGCGTATAATATAGCTTGTTATACACCAGTTATTGAAATGACCATGACGTTAACACATATGTACACATAAGGGAGATATCACATCATGGCATGTTATTGACAAATGACAACAGAAAAAAGCGTCAGAAATGGATGGGCAGTGTGAAACAAGGCAAAGGCCATTAAATGGCGACAACACACATGCTTTAGGCGTTGATGAATCCAATGTACTATGTACACACAGGCGACCGTATTTTCGGGAAATAATACTAGTTCTTCATTAGGAGTACTTACAAATTTGTTGAGAAACTGCAAACGCGATTATCATGACCCCAAACTTCATTTTGACCTGTAGAAAGATAGCCCGTCAATTGACGAGCTCAACAATCGAATCTACACCTTGAGGGTAATGGCAGCTACGTCTTTCGGGTTTAACAACGTCCAATACGTCATCGTCAACAATGCACGTTCACAATCACTTGCACAATAGTTGAATGACATAGAAACAGGGAGCTCAAAACACTATTGGTGATTCAACATGGCCGACTCCAATAATCACCTATACAGAAGCCCGGATGTAAAAACCAAGCCATGCATATTTTGTAAAGGACAATCTGATTGGCCTGAAACCCGCACATATTGACTTTGTACAATCAGGCCATATTACAATTATGCATTTAATCACAATGTTGTGTCAGCGGATCACGTAAATTGTCATAGTAAATTCTCTTCCTAGTCGTGTCATTGTACTGTCAAACATTGTTATACGGCGTTAGGCAAGAAAAGGAAATACGTGTATGTAATGACCAATGAGAGATGACCTTTGAGCGAGTTGAGAGGTCGGTGCCTATTGTCAAGTTATTCCTTCATGGTGAAACCGTTTGTTAAATAACCCGCTCCTCCCCGAAAAAAAAAAAAATAACAACGATAGTAATAGTATAATGTATCTGTTCTGTTCAAATCTCAAACTGGAATGAATCAAAGTATTTCCTAACAATATGCGGATTGATTTTTAACGGGATATCAACTTAGCTGAAATATTAGACACATGTAAAGTTACATTGTATTTTGTTCCTTTTGATTTTAAAATGATATATGACAGATTGCTAAAGTCATTTTTCTAAATAATCGGTGAGTTTAGGCCTATGTTGTGAGACAGGCATAATGTATTTATGCCATGCTTATCAATATTTTATCTCAATGGCATCAGTGGTTTTATTACCTTAAACCAGAGACCATATAATAGATATATGGTCTCTGCTTAAACGAACGATTAAGACAAATTCCATATAAACGTGGCACAATTAGCACTGTGTACGTGATGTGTGAATACTGTTCATCAACAGCCCTAATTATATGTGTACGTTGGCGCGTCAGGGGGATGGCGCAGCTACGCGTTTCTTCTGTGATTCGATGACAAGCAGCTAGAACCACTGATGTCTCATCCATCGATCCCGTTAGCCGCGCCTTATCGAAAAATATATGTATGCATATACATTGGCGGATCCAGAGAGGGGGTCGGGGGTTCGACCCCCCCTTGAAAATGACTTAAGACCACATTGAAGATTTTTTTTGCTTTGGCGAAGTTAGGGTGTGTGTGTGTGTGTGTGTGTTTGACACACACACACACCTACACACACACACACACACACACACACACACACACACACACACACACACACACACACACACACACACACACACACACACACACACACACACACACACACACACACACCTTCAAAATTCCTGGATCCGCCCATGGCATATAATCGCATATCCAGCCTCTATTCTTAGAGAACATGTGTCTATAGTTAATCTAGTGATAAAGTATTCATATAAGAACAAATCTGGGAGGGTGAGGGTTGGTCTGAGTCGGACGCTGTGAAGTTTATACAAAGTACAAATGCTAATTGTCCATTCTGTAAATATAGCGCATTTGTTTGGTAATTTTCCGCCATGAGCAATGATTAAAAGGTCGACATTAGTTGATTGACTGCCAGGACAGCGCCGTGTCATTGTTTGTGTTTGATGTGTGATGAATGAGGACTGGGTGTTTTTATTTATACGTCATGCATGCGAGTCAATGATCAGCTGGCACACGGATAAACATGTCCTCGATAAACCACATGCTCGCCGCGGGCTGGCTGTAATGACTGACTGAGTTTGGTTTTACGCCGCTTTTAGCAACATTCCAGCAATATCACGGCGGGGGACACCAGAAATGGGCTTCACACATTGTACCCATGTGGGGATTCGAACCCGGGTCTTCAGCGTGACGAGCCAACGCTTTAACCACTAAACTACCCCACCGCCCCTGGTTGTAATGAGAATAGGGTGTTCACTAAATACAATGACCTGCACTTGGTTATGCCTACATTGCGTCTTTATTTCCCTCGATTATCCGTTTGGTGTATATCCAGTTTATTATGATATATGGCAAAGTGAAAATGGATAATCGGGGATTCTCGATTCTTCATGTTTGTTTATTTTTATGTTATTCAGCCGTGCTTTAATGATTTAAATATTGATAATGTTCGCTTGTATGGCAAACAAAGTTTTAACATTTAATGCGAAATTCATCATATCTTCAGTTGTTTTGAAAATGACTTGAAAAAAATTAGAGATAACGTGAATTAAATTGAACAAATCTTTAAATACAGATTGTTTTATTTATATATTTTTATATTTAGGAAATAAAGTTCGCTCTACCCCAATGTGTTTTGTAATAAAGTATAGTTTTGCCCTGAACTATTATAATTAAAGCACGAGGACGGTATCTTTTCTAAGATGCTAAATTTAATACTTAGGATAATTACGATTAATTTAAGGCAGAAAACAAACGACGGTGTCGGTGACCTAAATTAAGATTCCTCGCACAGGGCTAACTGGCGCGCTGTTCTATTGATGTGTCTGCCCCCCTACGTTAAGACGAACGTTACCAGAAAAAAAGAAATGATAACAGTTTGATGACTGTTTACGTTCGGATTAAATATCTTCTCTGAATTATTTTAATTACATCTGTCATTAACGTAAACCATATGGGGCAATATGAACGTCGCATTTCTACTACCAACGTAAGTTTAGATCAGTACATCCAGATGAAGCTCAGTAGTCAATTGACATTCCACGATTGCATTCGGGGAATGTAAACATTGCGAACGTTACCGTGTCGCTGAAAACTTATGAGTCGAATTGACACATTTTAACCGTCGTAAAACATAAACGTAATGTTTCCACCAGTAATGTTGGCTTGTCCCGGAATAATACGAGTTGGTCACGAATGCTGACATGCATCGTGACGTCGCTTACATTGTGACGTAATGTAAAATAATTCGATTACGAGGGGGCACACTAGAATGGCGCAGTGACGGGAAAACGTCATTCAATTGTTACGTCATCAAAAAACTATACCTTTATTGTCTGATAATGTTTGTTTTTTTCGATTGTTCTAACCGCTAGGCATCTTAGAAACAATAATATTCATGTCAAGGATGAATTGTGATGTCTTGAAAAGAATACCGATATCTTAAATTGGATACATGATATATAAGACAAAATATTATGGATGTCAACTTCTTCTTTATTGATAATGATATACATGTATAGGATTTAAATATATTTGAAAAGCATGTGTTTTAAGATATCAGTAATTAAACTCATGAGATCTTGCAATTAAATATAAATACCATTAATTAATTACGAGACCGATGCGCATGCTGTTGCTCACGGGATTGTCTGGTCCAGACTCGAATATTTATACAGTCCGCCGCCATATAGCTGGAATATTGCTGAGTGCGGCGTTAAACAACAAACCAACAAACCAATGTTGCTACTGGTCACGACTTCCGCTGTATAGATATAAGTTCATGCCAGCATATATTCCACAATGGACATTCGGCGTTTGTTTTCCAGCTCCTTGGCTAGCTTTCGTCGTCAATTTTCGAACCGGAAGAATTATCGGATTTGTAGTCTGAAATATTTGAAGTTACCTGTGAAATATTTTCCGTCCTCTTGGTGGACCACAATGATTCATTTACCGTTTTCTCATTTTACTTATTCCTACGTAAGTCCCAAAGCATTAAAGGTAGATTTAAACCTACTATTATTTTTAATCGTAGTATGTATGTTCTTTTAATTTATGGCAAGATTGTCAAATATTTCTGACAGCTGAAGGGATGATGTATTTCTTGATACTGTGATATTCTAGTTGATTTTACTGTCCTTCGTCGACAGGTTTTTATACTTTACATGTATTTATGGTGAATTCAAAACTTGTTCATAGTTTGGCTGAAATATTGCCGATGTGACTTAAAATCTTAACTCACTCGCTCATTTTACTTGTATCAAAGATCCCAAAATCTGATGTACCGATATCTTCAAAATAATTGATTTGATTTTTTACCAGCAACGGTCACAATTGATCATATCTTGAATTCAGTTAAAGATGAATTAGAACAGTTTATTTTCGCTATAAAGGCCAACGCCCACATACAAAAATGAGTGAGTGAGTGAGTTTAGTTTTACGCCACACTCAGCAATATTCCAGCTATACGGCGGCGGTCTGTAAATAATCGAGTCTTGACCAGACAATCCAGTGATCAACAGCATGAGCATCGATCTACGCAAAGGGAACCGATGACATGTGTCAACCAAGTCAGCGAGCCTGACCACCCGATCCCGTTAGTCGCCTCTTACGACAAGCATGGGTTACTGAAGATCAATATTTTAACCCGGACCTTCACGGGGCACATACAAAAATAACATACATTAATTGAATAACAATGACAAGGTGACAAGAAATTTACTTTAACACAGTAATCAATCATTTAGAAACACTTTCCTTCTACACAGTGATTCCTTTAATCAATTCAGCACAATTGTTGAGCAAGATAGTATTTTGAGATGTTAATACAGTTTTACATTTCCTGATAGTGGTTTGAAAAGTAATACAATGGAAGATATCTTATTCTTGAGCTATTGTAGACAGGACATTATTGTAGAAATGATATTCGTTTTCGATTACACGTAGGTCACACATTAAACATATTCTTTCTTCAAGAGGTACTCGTTCCCACCAACCCGTATTTACTCTAGTGAGAGTTCGGATGATCTTAATAGAAATAGCAGTCTCTGAGGTAACATTATCAGTATATAATAATGATTTAAATCCTTGATAAGTTGTAAATTAGATACAGTGAAACCTGTCGAAACCGGCACCCCACGGGACCGAAATAAAAAAAGGGTTTAGACAGGGTGTCGGATTAGACAGTGACGATCATTTTCCAACATGGCTGCCATTTACACTCGTCAATCTCTTTTATCTCTATGTCTTATGTCACAGTTAGAGATGTCATGAACTATCTTTTTAGGATATCGGTAACTGATTTTTAAAATCACAAATAAATTTAAGCCATCTTCATAAACTTTGAAAATATTATTATTATCTTTAAATATTACACCAATATTTTAAAAGGAACTTAAGATATCAGTAATTTCATAACAAATATGAAAATGGCTTGCCACACGCGTAAGTACTTTTTGTACTCTGTTCGAGTTTCGTTAGCCGTATAGCTGTGGTTGGTTTTACTTCTCTTCTCTGTGCAAAGGATGATGCTGTCATATTCCAATGTTCCAATGTATGCCTGCAACATATGTGCGTGAGTTTAGTTTTACGCCGCTTCTAGTAATATATCAGATATATAGGCTACACACCAGAAATGGGCTTCACACATTGTACCCATGTTGGGAATCGAACCTGGGTCTTCGGCGTTACGAGCGAACGCTTTAACCACTAGGCTACCCCACCGCCCCGTAACTCATATGTATATACCTTAGCCTGATGCCCTAAATGGAGTAACTTTCCTTGACTTTGATGTTTCATTTCGATCGTCAATAAAATATTGTGAATGAAATCAATTCGTTGTCTGCCAGCGTTGATCGTCGCCCATGCAATTTACCACAAGTTCCGAATGGATTATATACACACCGCTGTAGTTGGAACATGAATACATGTTGCGTAAAATAACATTCATTCATCTAATTCATTTTGTAATGGGGAAAGGAAGATCCTATTGTTGCGGGGACGTTGATCCTATCCTAACAACTCTGTTGAACTTCGAGTACGTACCGTAAATCCTCGAATAAGCGCGTGGCTAGAATACGGTCAACCGAAAGGAAACAAACGGCGAAACTTAATTAATTCCAACACCAAATTTTATATAGTTTTTATTCACATGGCCCTTAATAACCTAAGGTATCATCCCAAATTTAAATTTTGATACGTTATTTGTTGTGAAACATCCTGAAGACACATTTGAACCAAAACTGACAAAATACGTTTATGTACAAACGCCTCTTTAGAATAGACCAGAAATTAAGCCGGCATCGCCTATTTCAGATGCCTCAACCAGTATTTATATCATAAAATTGCATCGAATAAAGTTAATTTTGACGTTTATTGTGTCTACATTCCTTAGGTATTCCCTGACGACATCGCCTACGACCTTGCATCATTTGTGAAAGAGTTGAGGTCACTTTCTCGAGCCAGCGGATACCGCTCAGATCTGGTTACAACAACGGAAATTATTTGCAAGTTTTCAGTTTTTCTATACCTATATCTCATAATAAAAACACATCAAACCCATTTAAGTTAAAGTATATTGTTAATGCCACATGTTACTACTGACTGTGCCAAATACCAACTCCATACGAGGCCAATAATCGAGGGAATACCTTTCTTACCGTCCAAAGCTATTTATAAATACTTCAGGAAAGTCGTGACGAAATTATCCACGTGCGCATGCGCGGAAATAAAGCTAAACGAATAAATAGCTAGAGGTTCTCCCCAATGTCACCGTGATTGCAGCAGCAACAGTCTTTGATATTTGGGGAATATAGTGATCCATAAGTATTTATCATTGGCGAACAACACAAAACGAACGATGACAGCTATTCGAGTGGTTATGAAAGGACATGTCCAAGCAAGTCAGTGCTTAAAGTTGAAAAGTCTTGGGACTCACAGTTTTCTCGGCACCAATGGCACCGTTCCAAAACAACAACTTCTTTCAGGAACTGCGGTAAGAGAAATTATGATATGGTCATCAGACCAGTATTCACAATGCAAATTACATTCTTTTGAGACTTACCCTCCTCCATCCCCGAAAGAAACCCGTTTCCCCGAACAATAAGACCCCGGAAGTCAAACGCAGCAACATGTGTGCTCTCTCTGTCTAAAGTGGTACCTCGCTAATCCGAACTTTTCTGTACTGATAAGAAAAAATGAATATTTATAATCACGTGGTACTGGTTATTGTTTTTATAACTTTAGTTGTTGATTTCGTCATAGAAATCAGTCATCATTTCAAAAGGCACTTTTTTTCAGGATATGGAGGTGTTACAGTGTCAAATAAGCATAAACTTAAGACAAATTATATTACCTTTAACCATTGGCCATGTATTGGTGGGTAGGAGCGTGAGAATGAGTGGTTGTCCTTAAAAACTGATGCAGCTAAAAAGTCTAAAAAGTCTAAAACATTCATCACAACTCTTTGGCATGGGGAGTCCAGAAAAAAACACACTCTTCTGCTTTTTCAACTAAGGACGGTCATATGGATAAAAATTTGAATGTTATTTAGTGAACGGTGACTTATTATTGGGTGGAGGGGAGATTCATGACAAATAATGTTGCATGTATTCAAGATGGGAGGTGGGGAATGGGGAAAGGCCAGGAAAACAATGTTACATAGAATGGTAGGTTTGTGAGCTGAATATGATAGTCTCAATCTCTGCCCATCCCCAAGTTATAACATGTATGTTGTGTGATGTAACATGGGCGGATCCAGAAATTTTAGATGGGGGTGGAGGTGGGGGTGGTCAGGGGTAAAACCCTGAACCCCCTTGGCTCTGCCAACGCAATTTTGTTTTCAATGTGGTCTTAAGTCATTTTCAAAGGGGGTCGAACCCCTCCCTCCCCCTGGATCCGACACTGTGTAATGTACTTCATGTTGCATGTCATGATCTAGAGCCTGCAAATGTAACCATAGCTATCACTCTGTTATACAGACCCTGAAACAAATATATCAAATGTAGCCCTTGCAAGTCTAGAATGTGTGGCAAGTCAAGATTACCACAGTTTCAGTATCTTCTGATAATGAAGAAAGTCACTCGGCTCATCCACTTCAGCTGCACCTCAGGAAATACAGAATTTTCAAGGGTCTTACAGTCCCGTTGACCCTTTCAAAATACTGTGTGGCCAATTTATTACCCTAAGATGTTTTTATTTAACTTATCTTTAAACAACAACATTCAATCATCGGCAGAATGAGACGCAAAATGTTTCGCCATGATTTTTCCTGAACGGTCATGAAGGGAGATAGTTTATGATTAAAAATATCAAATTTGAGGTTTTGTTAAATGACAAGTGAAATACAGAAACATTTTATTTTGGGATATATTTATTGACACAAACAAATAAGAAATTATGGCAACAACTATATTTCCCAGTTTATACACATAATTGTATACGCCAACTCTAAAATTTTGAAGCAATGAACCGTTTGGCAGCCACATTCCATCTTAGGTCAAGGTCATTTGTACAACACGTGTAGTGTGTCACATGACAGATTAGGCGGGTGTATGGTTCGTACATCATGGCAAATCCGCCTACATGGTTTGGTATGCTTTGGCTATTGACCAATCAGAATTCGACAAATTTATCTTAAGAGTAATAAAAGCATGTATTGCTCTTTGAGAGCATGTTAATATATGTATTTGCAATACAATGTAATACATGTATTTGCATCCAGCCGATGTCAGATAGTAAACATAGCACCCATATGGGGTTTCGGGTGTAGGGCCTAACAATGCTGATTTTCAAGTGAAACAGACCAAAACCACTGTGCTTTTTCTGCTACCACATACTACTTAACGATATCCAGGTGCCTTTAAAGAGGTCCACTCCTTCAGTAACAACCTCCAGAGATACACCCCTTTGCTGGCCTCCTTCACACAGCTGCCAAAATGGAGGATATAACATGTATTATACCACAGACAAGGGCAACAATACTCAAACATGGAAAGTATTGAAATATGGATGGTTTTTTCTTCTAGGATTCAAATGTTTTTGATGATGGACCGACTGTTTTGACTCATGTTTTGTGCTAACTGTCATCTGGTGATTATCTTGTGATTATCTGACTCAAGTATATTGTGCTGGCAAGGCAGCTGAAAGTATTGTTGCTCTTTACTTTTACTCTTTGATCTTGTCGAATATGATATGGTGTTGATAAAATCTTGAGAACTGCTGCTTGCAATATTCCATGTTTAAAATATACTTTGTTACCTACAAGTATGGTACACAAAAGGTATACAATCCACCATTAACTAACCACAATAGGAATACAAAGCTTATATCCTTCTTAATCTGTATGTATTTACTGATGAAATACAATGACCTACTACCCTCTGATACAGCCATGAAGATATAATAATTCATCATGTTATATGCGTTCACAACAAATTACATTTGTTTTTCTCCTTTTTTTGAAAGTGGACTCATTCAGATAAACATTTATTATGAAAAAATGCTAAAACTGTTTCTGTTTTCAAACTCATTTTTGTTTACAATGGTTGTTTGTTTCTATGTACAGACAAGATAAATGGAGAGCTAGTGGTACAGTAATGATCCATTACTTCATGTTAGATAGGGGGCGGTGGGGTAGCGTAGTGGTTAAAGCGTTCGTTCGTCACGCCGAACACCCGGGTTCGATTCCCCACATGGGTACAATATGTGAAGCCCATTTCTGGTGTCCCCCGCCGTGATATAGCTGGAATATTGCTAAAAGCAGCGTAAAAGTAAACTCACTTACTCACTCACTCATGTTCGATAGGGACAGTACAGTCCATTTGAGTCAGAAACGGACCGATGAATTGCAAATTTTATCATTGTACAAAATTGCCACATAAATATAAATAGTACACATGTTTATCATTTACTAATACCCAACAGCTTTCTTATATTTGAAAATTTTCCGGACTCCACCAAAAAAGTTCTTTAAGAAACTATCATTAAAATTTTGACACAGTTCACTATTTGTTACGAGGGAGGAGTGCAGAAAGAGGGACAGCCAGGTGTGCGAGAAAGGATGGAGATGGCACAGCACAGGCTAATGAATCAATAACTTGATGGGCACTTGTGCTCGTGCTTCTCTAACACCTGGCTGTCCCTTTCTCTGCACTCCTCCCTCGTAACATATAGTGAACTGTGTCAAAATTTTAATGATACTTTTTTGGTGGAGTCCGGAAAATTTTCAAATATAAGAAAGCTGTAAGGTATTAGTAAATGATAAACATGTGTACTACATGTATTTATATTTATGTGGCAATTTTGTACAATGATAAAATTTGCAATTCAACGGTCCGTCTCTGACTCAAATGGACTGTAGTAACCAACAGTAAATGTTTCAAGTACAATCACAACAACAGCAGTGAGTGTTCACGTATATTAAGTCATATTCTTTATCAATACAAAAATATGCATCTATTGTTACAAGAAATAGTGATGTACATTTCTCATTTAGGGTTTTATACCAGAAAGTGAAAGGTTCCTGTTGTCATCCAAAGCCATATCATTCCAAATGATATTGAGTGACAGGGGTGGAAATAACTTTAAAATTGCTAGTGTACTCCGGTACAGTGGCACATGTAAAATCACTTGCCCTGATAATTTTTCCACTGTACTGGCCGTTTTCTTGTTGATTTTTTTAAATAAACAACATAATTAACATTGGAAAGTCAACTGGACACTGGTACAGTGTGATATACAAATTTGCTTGCCCGACAGAAAAAAACAGTGGACTCGGGCGTCGGGCAATGGGTTATTTCCACCCCTGAGTGAGTGAGTTTAGTTTGAGCCGCACTCAGCAATATTCCAGCTATATGGCCCGCGATCTGTAAATGATTGAGTCTGTACCAGACAATCCAGTGATCAACAGCATGAGCATCGATCTATGCCTTTGGGATACAATGACATATGTCAACCAAGTCAGTGAGATGACCACCTAATCCTGTTAGTCGCCTCTATCGACAAGCATGGGTTACTAAAGACCAATTCTAACCTGGATCTTGACAGGTTTTGAAATAGGTACAGTTTGACGAACCCATTCTTTGCAGTGGTATAGCTGCAGCATCACATCCATGCTGTCTCATGGCCTGATTGGAAAGTAGGACTAAATATACTAAACTGTGTAAAGTCACGTGAGTGTAGACATTCCACAAGCAGAGTGATACTGGACGGAGTGATGCCGCCCAATCCCCCCCCCCCAATGACAAGCATGGGTTGCTGAAGATCAATTCTAACCTGGATCTTCATGGGTTCCAATGGATTTTGAGAGATGGTACTTGTTGTTACCTTGTGCAAGGCATTACGGGGGCCTACACATGATGCATACACACACACACACACACACACACACACACACACACACACACAGAGAAACACAGTAAACTTGACAAGATACTCACCTTCAGTTAACCTCACCTTATCTCATTTTATTTCCCATTGGTAAACTTTGTGGATTCTTGTTTCAACTTATTACCACTCTAACTTCAACAGAGTTCTAGAAACTGTTAAAATGTGTAATATTTAGCTGTTGTGTCTGTTGCCAGTTCAGTTACAAGTGACTGTAAGTCGGCCTCATTTTGTTCTACGCAGATTCAATTTTACTCCAGAAATGGAAAATGGGATATATTTTGGTTACAATTGTGACGGTCAATGGTTTTATTTTGACAGATCACACTGCATATTTGATACAACTGAATCCTAAAAACATCGAACAATAATAAAGCCCCACCAAATATTTATTATTCGTGACTTTCACATTAAATTAGTGGACTTTGGACTATCCGTCATGTTTCTGGTGTTTTGAATGTATCTTTAGACACAGGTTTATCTTACTGTATAACAAAGTTCATTCTTTGTCTGAGAATGTTTCTACTATCACACCTTAAATATTACCAGCTATAGCTGTACACCCATGCAGCTACAGTAGACAGCATTTACAGCCAACTTTTTTGAAGA